CACAATTTGAGTTGAATTACTGAAATAAATGAACTTTTCCACGACATTCTAATTTATTGAGATGCACCTGTAAGTGCATATGTATTATGTTTATTGTTCTTTAATTCTAACATTATAAAATGAATTGCAGTGAAACTGTTATATAGTTTAATTTATTTATACCATAGTCCAGTGTTTCCCACAGACTTGCACTCTATTTGTGGCGGCATATATATGCAAATTCATTTTCTGCCAGCAGGAGGCGCTGTTGGAGTGGTAGAGATCGAGGTTTCCCCGGTAACGGCTGTACACAAAGCAGCGCAAACGCTCACAAACGCTGCTTTATCAGACATTACATGCAAGATAAAATGAAAATGACATCCAATTTTCTGAAGACAGTCGGTTTCTTCAGAAATACAGTGATATAAAAACACCCGCACTCAATGTGGGAAACACTGTAGTCTCATAATTGAAGTGTAAATTCTGCAGATTACATCATTCTCCAGTATTGTACTGTCAGCAATTTATAAAAACGTTTTCATAATTGTAACATACATACAGTATTTACATACATAATTATTCAGGTGCATGTGTTAACTTGCGAAAACTTGACTCTACAGCAGCACTTCTTCTTCATCGTCTCATCTGATGCACTCACTCAACCAAGCGTTCTAACCACAACCTCGCCCCTCCCCACCCCCCAACCATTCGAATTTCCGTAGGCGGGAATCATTTTAATGATATTCTAATGGGCCGCTTTGTGATATCACAAAGCCCGGAAACCAACGCTGTAGTCCAAACGAGCTGTTCGTTGTAGTTCTTGAAAAGGGATTTTTAAAAAACGAAATATCTCCCTTTGGAGTGGACTTTGAGATTTGCAACGTTGTAGATCTTTTTTTATGCCCAAACATACTACACACTGACTAAAATTCAAAAAGTGAAAAAGCATAATATGACCCCTTTAATGAATAGCTTCGGGTTCGGGTCGGGCTCGGGTTTATAGCTACACTAAAACTATATGCAGTAGGCTACGCTGCTTTCATAGACGCATGCACACACATTAGTGCAGTAAAGGCTTTACACCGTAGGCTATATGCGTCAGTTTTCATTTATACCTCTGCGTCGTTGTCCACGTCAACGTGCAGTACACATG